CGCGTACCTCACCGCAAACGGCCACAGAAAATGGGGGGCAGCCGCATGCATCATGGACGTACGAGTGACGTCCATGACCATGCCAATGCGGCGCTCTGCGATCCCATTTTGCTGCGGAGTGTTCGGAAGCGTGAAGGTCTGACGGATGCCTCGTGCGCGACAGTAGGCTCTCAGAAGGCCAGAGGAAAACTCTCCGCCTCTGTCCGAGTGCAGACGCAGAATAGGAAAGTCCGAGCCAAAGCTCTGCCGGAGCTGGAGACGAGCTGCGCGGATTCAGTTGATCATCCCCTCAGTGACATCACCCTTGCTACGCAAGGGGAAGACTGCGGTGAAACGCGAGTAGTTGTCAACAACGAGCAGGAAGTAGCGCTCGTGACCCTGTCCACAGACGCGGGCTGGGCCCCACACGTCCATGTGAAGCCTCTGCAACGGGGCCTCTGTCGGAGGAAACTGGGAGGAGTGAGGGGCAGCCCGCTGGCGCCCCTCGACATAGGGGACAGAGGGAGGGCCAGGGCCCTGAGGAAGGGGAGGGAGGGACCGGGGGAGACCAGACACAAGAAGACGGGAGGCCATGCCTCTGAGCCGAAGCAGAAAGGGGTGACCAAGGCGGTGGTGCCAGAGGAGAGTCTCGTGAGACAGAAGACGACACGAACAGGGGGCAGACTCAGGACCAGACCTGGACGCTACAGCAAACACCTGACCCGACGCAGCTACCCTATCAGACTCAGCAACTGGAGGAGACGCAGTGGTCAGTGTGTACAGGCTCGACCCCAGCTGACGAATAAACGTAGCCAGGTGTCGGCCTGTGCAAGCCTCAGTGCATTGCGTCACCCGCTGACGCGTAGGAGTGAACTGGTAGACTCCCCCATCCTGTAGGTCAGCACCACTCACCAGGTTCGTAGAGAACGAGGGGAGGTAAAGACCAGACAGGGTGCCAGAGGGAGCCGCCGGACACGGGAGGATTGTGGAGAAGTGAGACAGGATAGGACCCCCAGAGGGGTCAGCCAGAGACACCGCAATCGGCCGACTAAGCGGCGTAAGTGTGGTGCGGTCCCGAAAGAAGGAGCGAGAAGCCCTAGAGTCAAGGGTGAAGGTGAGGGAGGCCGAAGCCGACGTAGTACCTGAGAGCGCAGACTCACCAGTACCTGAGGACGCAGGCACACTAGCACCTAGACCAACAGTGTCGCAAGCACCTAGGGCAGCCGCCTCACCAGTACCTAGAGCAACAGTCTCAATGCCCGGATCGGGCGGGAAACACCGGTAACAGTCACCCTCATCACTAATAGACACAGCATACATGGTAGAAAGAATAGCATCAAATTCAAGATCATAGATGGCAACACCCGCCCTAGACAGCTCGCCCCAGCGAGGGATCTCTGTGGCCTCCGGGAACTGGTGACGCCACGCGTCCGTCAGGCGGCCAAAGCAGCGCTGGGTGGGGTGCGCACCCCCACACTGCTCACCCGCACGGTTGCCGGTGCGCAGGAAGTAGGTGCACGGACCAAAACCCCCACCCCGCTGGCGTGCAGTGTACCACTCACGGAGCTGCTGAGGGGACAGGGTCTCACGACCGCGCTGCTGCTACTGGCGCGGACCACCACCGGAGCCACTCCTCTGCGTAGACCCGCGACCAGCTCCACCGCCACCCCCGCCGCCTCCGCTGCCTCCGCCGCCTCCGCTACTACCGCCGCCTCCGCCGCCTCCTCCACTGCCGCCATCTCCGCCACCTCCGCTCCCACCGCCACCGCCGCCGCCACCTCCGCCTCCACTGCCGCCACCGACACCTCCACCCCCACCTCCACTCCCACCGCCACCCCCACTCCCCCCGCCGCCTCCACCTCCACCTCCACCGCCCCCGCTCGCGCCTCCAGTGCCCCTACTCCCCTTGCCCTTGCAAGAGCGGCGTCTCCCGCTAGGGGCAGACGCCACACCGACCGACTCAAGACCAAGGAGGTCGGCCGCAGCAGCAGAGGCAACAGAGGGCAGAAGGGGGGAGGGGGAACACCCCTCAAAGATGGAGGTGCGCGGGTCACCACGAGAGGCCCCTACAGCTACTATGCTCTTCTCGGCCGCTAGGAGGGACTTCTCGAAGAGGTCAACAGTGAGAGTGGTGGGACAGACTGAGAGGAAATGGTCCGTGACTACGCGAAGGGAGTCAGGGAGGCGAGTGACTATTTAGTAAAGAGTAATGTACATGGGGGGGGGGGTTCTTGGCGCAGAAGTCAGCAGGAAGCGCAGCGCGGTAGCGAGTGTCACTAGTGCGGAGGTGTGTAATGAGGACAGCGACTATGGGAAAGGCAGCAAGGTCAGGGAAGAGGTACGGTAGCATGAGACGGCTCAGTGCAGCAGTGGCAGGGGAGGAGTAGCGCGCAACTACAGCGTCGTACAAGGTCTGAGCACTCTTGTACTGACTAAAGTGTGCACGCTCGGAGGTAGGGAGGTGGCGACGCACAGCAAGACGTGCAGCAGCGTCGCGCGTGGCCCACTGGGAACGAACAGTGGCGTTGGCATCAGCAGCAGGGGCAGGGGAAGCGCCTGAGCTGAGGTCAAAGAGAGAGAGGCCGTCTGCCCTATCGCACTGTAAGAACAACTGCAGGTTATCGACCCAGACCTCAAAGTCAATGGCCCCACCCTCAGCGTCAAAAGCGAGGACACTAGGGGTAGCCATGACCACAGTAGACTAGCAGTGCAAACAGTAGGGTGAGGGCAGTGCAGTGAATGAGGCGCTGTGCTCACCAGACTGGGCAGCTCGGAAGTAGGGCGGCTCGATGGCTCGGCTGGTCAGCGGCTCGGCAGCTCGGCGGCTCGGCTGCTGGGCGGCTCGGCTGCTGAGGGGCTCAGCGGCTCAGCTGCTGGGCGGCACGGCTGCTGGGCGGCTGGGCTGCTGGGCGGCTCGGCTGTCGGGCGGCTCGGTTGTAGGGCGGCTCGGCTGCTGGGCTGTTGAGCGGTCTGGCGGCTCGGCTGTCCGGCCGCTCCGTCGCCCGGGCGGCTCGGCGGTGCTGCTGCAGGGCGGCGCGGCGGTCGGCTGCTCGGGTGGGTGGGGCGGGTCGGGCAGTCGTGGTGGCGGGCGGCGCTGCAGTAGGTGAGAGGCGACGAGGCCGCAGCAAAGGGCGGCGACGGGCCGCTGGTAGGGTGGCGACTGGGCCGCAGGTGAAAAGGGCGGCGACGGGCCGTAGGTGAGTAGGGCGGCGACGGGCCGCGTTAGGGCGGCGTCAGGCCGCTGTTGAAAGGGCGGCGACGGGCGACCGCTAGGGCGGCGACGGGCCGCTGCTAGGGCGGCAACGGGCCGCCTCTAGGGTAATGGCAACGGGCCGTTGCTAGTTCGACGGGCCGCTAAGGGCGACGGGCCGCTGCTAGGGCGACGGGCCGCTAAGGGCGACGGGCCGCTAAGGGCGACGGGCCGCTAAGGGCGACGGGCCACTAAGGGCGACGGGCCGCTGCTAGGGCGACGGGCCGCTAAGGGCGACGGGCCGCTAAGGGCGACGGGCCGCTAAGGGTGACGCAACGGGGCCGCTAAGAAGGGCGCGACCCTAGGCGCGCTTCGGGCAGGGAAAAAAAAAAATAAAGGTCGGTGGGCCCTAGGAATGGTTCCCATGAGGGAACCTGCTCGATGCCATGAGAAAGTATGAACGAGAATGAATCAACTTTGAATGAAGTGAGTACAAGTACTAACCCTAATTGGGTTGTACCCCTTATGGGATACCCCACTACAGCCTACACAAAAGCATAAGCTATAATGTTCTGACATCTTCATGCTGCCAGTCCTACTATCACGCGTCTCCTTGCTACTGTCGTCACTGGCCCTTCCTTTGAGTCCACTGCTGCGTCTGCCCTTGTTGCTGAGCTCGTCGACTTTGCTGCTCGCTGTCGACTAGACTACGCTGCTAGTCTTGTCGCTGAGTCTGAGTCTGTCTGTCCTCCGTCCGTCGGGGGTGAGTGTGCCCTTGGCACGGACGTCCTTGAGGACAGGCAGGAGGAGTTCCAGTGTCTGGCTGCTGCTTCACCTCATCTCGTGTCTGTATTGCGTACCCCTGAGGGAGACCCGGATGCACTTGACATCCCGACTCCGCGCTCTTATGCGGAGGCGATAGAGCTTCGCTGGCTCACCTACCTGCTGACTGACCTCGGAGAGCCGCCTCGTTCTCCTCCAGTGTTGTACGTAGACAACAAGGCCATGCTGGCCTTCTGTCGAGAGCAGAGACTGGAGCACAGAACAAAGCACATTGCTCTCCGCTACTTCCTTGCTCGTGAGCTACAGCAGCGTGGTCAGTTGCGGCTTGCGTACGTGGCCCCTGAGGCCAACACTGCTGATATCTTCACCAAGGCACTTGCGCCTTGTGATCATCAGCGCTTCTGTACTCAGCTGGGTCTTGTACCTGTCTTGCCTCACTTGCTCACCCCTTGACCTTGTTTTTACTGTTACATATATATATACACCTGCTCTTGCTTGTCTAGCCTTATATATGTATGTAATCCTGCATGTGAACTGGCCTTGTGGCCTTGAAATTGTGCTCGGAATGTGTGGTGACTTTGTGATCCACCCTGAGCTTGCTTTGCTTTGCTTTGCTTGACTGGTCTTGTGACCCCTTGTTCTCCCCCACTTTGCCTATGGGGGTGTGTCAGATTTATATGACATAGCTATTGTAGGCTATAGTGGGGTAGCATATACGGGGTACAGCTTTCTAGGGTTTGCATTTGTACCCAACTTTCACTTAGTCATTCCCATTCCTCGTTTCTTCTCAATCCGCGCTTCCTACAACTACCGTCATCGCTCAGATATAAAATAGTGTTGAATAGAAGGTAGGGGGTGTCTATTAAATGGGTGTCTCTTATAAACGGGTGTTCCTCATTATAAGACACCTAAATATGTGCACAACTTAAGACAGTGTCATGTAATCAGAACAAGGGTTTCGAGGTTTATGAAGGGGGGGGTATCCTCTAAACGATCCTTAGTTCCTTCTCGAGGGTACATGCATACATTCATGAATTTCTACTTATACCTAGCCCCCCTCCGTCACAACCTCCTCATCTGCATGAATATCAGGCTCCCTAACACCCAGGTCTGGCACTCGCCAGGCATGCCTAGCTGCCTGCCTTGGCTCGGCCATGCGGTCAGCCTCGGCCGCCGCTCCGCGGTAGTTGGGGGTCTCCTGGTATAGCACCTCCAGGCCGGTTGCCACGGCCACCTCCCTGACGCCCTCCGCCTGCATCTCCTCCTCCTCCTCCTCCTCCTCCTCCTCCTCCTCCTCCTCCTCCTCCTCCTCCTCCTCCTCCTCCTCCTCCTCCTCCTCCTCCTCCTCCTCAAGAGCCTGCCCAAGCAGGCGCGTGTTGTTGCCTGTGGTCCTCGCGCGCAGGTGAGACATCACAAGGTGGTTCTCCGTCCCGTCCAGCTTGCTTGAACTCCCACAGTGGCGGAACGCATCAATGATGACCTGCTTGGGGACTTAATCCCATGCCTCCGCAATCCACTGCAGCACCACGGGGTGTGGAGGCCTCTGCAAGTGTCCTAAGTGTGGGACAGAGGCAGGGACAGCACGCCGTTAGAGACATGAAGGTGTAACAGGACATGAAGGTGTAACAAGGCTGAACTTGCATGAACTTTACTCACCCTTCTTTGTGTTCAGGTGAATCCATTCACGCATAAACCACCTGGCATAGCGTGCGCGCACCGCGGCCTTGAAGCACCGGTTGATGGAGACGTCCAAGGGTTAAACTTGGCTCATGTAACCTGTTGGGATTACTGCAGGGGTGATGCTATGCGTAGAGTAGGCTTGGAGCATGCTCTGGGTGATGAGGCCTCGGTAGGAGTCCAACACCAGCATCGCACGCCTCGCGTTATGGCCGCGCTAGGGTTTGAGATGCGGCAGCACCTCCTTGGTCAGCCAGATCTGCACAGCGCTCTCGTCCATCCACCCGCTATCCTGTGCTTGGCACACGACTCCTGCCAGGCACAGGGGGAGAGAGGGGGGTCAGGCAAGAAGAGCAAGTTCTACACTCTTGGAAAGCAGAAATCGATTAGCTTACTGTCCAAAATGTCACACTTCGGCACGTTTTTCACCTTGAACCACACTCACGGGCAGAGCTTCTCCCCGGAGGCGGTGCACGCAAGCATCACCGTCAACCGCGTCGTCTCATATCCGGCCCTGCGGATTGAAACCGGGCGCGTGCCACAGTGCTCGATCGTCCTCTCGGCCGACATCTCAACGAAGAGAGGTGTCTAGCCTGCATTGATGATACGGGCCGCGCCCTGTTGATGCGCACGAACTTCCAAAAAGACTCGTAGTCCTTAGCGCACCCTGCGCAGGAAAAACACCGCACAGCAGGAGCGGATGGGTAGAAACATGAGAGGTGATTAGAGTTCTAGGCACATACAGTCAAGAATCAAGCGCGGATTCACTCCCTTAACCACTTACCGGCAGATAACCGTTGGCCAACCTTGGTCTTCACCCGCATAACCAAGTTCCAGCGGTCACGGAACCACTGGCTCCAGTGTGAGCTCGCGTCCCAGTTCTTCCCGGGGTGGTGTTTCTTCATCCACTCGCAGCTCCACTTCTACATGACTTTCACCGTGATCGCCACCCCATTCACGCGCTGCAGGCATATGTAGCGGTACAAAGCTGCCTCCATGTCAGGGTAGTGTGACTGGCGGCTCGCCCCGTGCATCTGCTTGCGGCAGTTCGCCGCTCCCTTGTAAAGGCCCGTTGCAACCTCCGAGCTCCAGCACCTGATGCAGGTGATGGACGCGGTGGATTCCACGGAGGTCTTCTTGAGGGATCCGAGCTCCTGGTAGCGGTGCGCCCACTTGAGTTTTTCGTGTACGCTCTAGCTACACCTCGTTTTCTTAGTATCCTTGCTGCCAGGGGAAGAGGGACAGGAGTTGGGATTACGGAGGGTGGGGTGTTTTGGCTTCGCCTTCTCAGGGAATGAAGGAATCGGGCATGCAGCCTCCGTGTAGTCACCGTTGCTGCCGAGCGCCTCGTTGACCACGATGTCGTCCTTGTTTGGCATCTTCTTTTTCTTCTTAGCAGCACCAGTGCTGGAACTAGGGTCGCCGTCTTTCTTACGCTTCTTGTCTTGTGTGGCGACGTACAGTGGCCTTGGCAGGGACCTCCATGACCTTGGCTTTTCCCTTGTCTGCAGCAGTGAGGCGCGGTTGACACTCCTCCCCCGAACTATCGTTATCAGAGAGCACCACACGGGCACGCTTCTTCTTGGGTTGAAGGCGATGACGGAGCCTCCGTTTCAGCACAAGAACACAATCGGCCGCCGTGATGCGCCACGGTTCGTCTTCCTCTTCTTCACCGTCGAAGATGACCGCATCAACACCTCCCTTCGCAGCATCCGCATCCGCCTCCGCACCCGCATTTGCCTCCACATCTGTGGCCGCAACCGCATCTGCATCCGCTTCCGCCTCCACTTCCGTCGTCGCTTCCGCTTCCGCTTCGTCGTCTGCATCCGCATCCGCAACCGCCTCCGCATACACCGCCGTACCCACAGGCACATATTCCGCCGTAGCCGCCGCAGGGGCTTGCACCGTTGCATGCGCCGCTGCCTCAGCGTGCTCACCATCAGCATCCGCAGCTACGTCGTTGTTCGAGTCACCAGCCAATATCAGCCTCGCCAATTGGCCAATTCCACCATTCGGCGTCGTCGATGCTACCAGCAGGGGTTCATCCCTTGACGCGCTGTCGTCGTGGCCATTCTCCGCCCAATCCTCCTCGCCGTTGTCGCCATGTTTCTTCGCCGTCGTCTTCGTCATAGCTCGCACCTGAGGTGGCGGTTGAGCATCCCGCCTTGCGCGTATCTTTCGTCATAGCTACATGGATGTCTTCAACGGACGAGTTGATTCGCCCATAGTTGTTCACCTGGAAGTGAGGGCGAGGGGAGGCAGTGCCAACAGGGACTTTGCTGCGCATGTTTGAGCCTGCCGAGAGCAAAGGTTGAGCTAATCTCAACCCCCTTGAGCACAAAATCAAGCTCAAGCCCGACTACCCCCCCCAGCCAGAGTGCCCCTTCCAAAGGCTGCCGAGCCGCTCCTCTACGAGGAATCTCCTCATAGAGGACAGCACATGTCAGCCCTCACACTGCCATCATGCTACCAGCAGCGTTCAGGAAGCATCCATGCGCTGCTGGAAGCAAAACGGCGCTGGCAGCATCAATGGATGCTACCAGCATGGAGGGATGTTGCCAGCACAGGCAGCTTTGCTGCATCCCTCACGTGGCATGTGGTGGCGACGCATGCATCACCACCGAGGCCGGCCGAATTCAATGAATCTGGGCCCTGGGTGGTTTCTACACACTTTGCAAATGTTACACGTTTCATATTTTTTTTTTCCCCATTTATAAGACGTATAAGACACCCTAAACCGTCCCAAATACAAGACAATCCAGGAATTGATTCTAGTATATAAGATAAGACATATATGTCTTATATCCGGGCGATGACGGTATGTATGCGAGTCCTAATGTCACAAAGGCGGATGCCAACCTATTACTTAGTAGCAGGCAAGAGCATGCTCAGGAGTCATCTGCATACCTTCAGCAAGCGTAGAAGTGGGGTGGTGGAGGGGAGGAAGGGGGTCGCAGGGCAAAACATCATCAACAAAGAAGTCGTTGAAATTCGTGCGTACTATCGCTAAGCACTTCCGAGGTGGTTCCTCCTCATGAAGTACTACTAGTGTGAAATAACAGGGCTGAGTTCTTCTTCGCCACGTAGGGGTGTCAGTGTCGCAAGTCCGGTGTGAGTACTTAAAGCTGTGAGGGAGCATAGGTCTGTCTTGGAATAATTTTGCAACTACAGCCATAACAACAACACTAGAAAGTCCTTACATGCCTCCGTAGAAAGAGTGGGTGTTACGGGAACGATGAGAGCGGGAGAAGAAGAGTGGCAACTTGGGAAACTCGCAGTGCTACTTGTACTCTTGATCCAGAGAAACAAGGAAAGCCCCCAAATCGGCCCTTAACCGATCCCGGTTGAGACCCCAATTTCTCAAAATCAGCCCGTTAGCTAAAGCTGGCTCCCCCCGAAACCAGCCCTTTGAAATGTCGAAGCTGGCCAGAAGTTCGCACGGAATGTTGAGGACATTAAGGGCAAATGCATTTGAATTGACAGCCCTGGTTCGACCCTGCACAGGATTCGAGTCGAGTCAGCATGAGCTGACAGGGGCGCCTTGTGAGTCACATCGACTGTATCTGCCAGCGCTCTCGAGAATTTTACTTACAATCTCATACAACTTCAACTCGATTGAAAAGGCAAGCATGAAATCTACATGTCAAACTTATATGCTACATGTTGTGTAGGCTGTAGTGGGGTAGCCCATATGGGGTACAACCCAAATTAGGGTAAGTACATGTACCCATCCTGCTGCTAGTTCATCCATCCTCGCTTAAACTTTCTGACATGGTTTCAGAGCACGTCCTCTCCTAGGACCGTTTTTTTTTAGGGCCCACCGAATCGCGCTACCCCACACGTCGCGCCGCCTCGTTAGCGCCGCGCTGCCCTGCCCTGCCCTGTGTCGCGCCGTCCTGCGCATGCCCTGCCTTGCGTCGCGCTGCCCGCGCACGCCTTGCCCTGCGTCGCGCTGCCCGCGCACGCCCTGCCCTGCGTCGCGCTACCCACGCGCTCCTTGCCCTGCGCCGCGCCGCCCGCGCGCGCCCTGCCCTGCGTCGCGCCACCCGCGCGCGCCCTGCCCTGCGTCGCGCCACCCGCGCATGCCCTTCCTTACCCGCGCGCCACTCGCCGCCGCCCTGCCTGTGCGCTGCTCGCCACCGCGCAACCCTGCCTTGCCCGCGCGCCGCTCGCCGTCGCGTCGCCCTGCCTTGCGCGCACGCCGCTCGCTGTCGCGCCGCCCTGCCGTGCCCGCGTGCCGCTCGCAGCCGCGCCGCCCTGCCCTGCCTGCCCGCATCTAGCCGCCGCACCGCCCTGCCCTGCCCGCGTGCCGCCCCGCTGGCTGCCGCCCTCCCCTGATCTGCGTGCGCGCTGTCCTGCTGGCCGCCGCCCTGCTTTACCCTGCCTGCATGCTGCCCTGCTACTAGCACGCCCAACTGCTTTGACCGCAATGGCTACTCTCACAGTACTCTCGTTCGATGCAGAGGGCCGTCCAATACAGTTCGACGCGTGGCAAGATGACTTGCAGCTGTACTTATTGAGCGATTCTAGGGACGGTGTCTCGCTGTTTGACCTCACGTCTGGAGCCTCTCTTGCCCCTTCCGCCACAGCTGACAATGCGACTCGCTCATGGTGGCTTACCCGTGACGCGGCTGCTCGCCTAGCCGTTCGCAACCACATGCCGTTAGCCGAACGCGCTCACTCTGGCCAGCACAAGACTGCTAGAGCCCTGTACGACGCTATAGTCGCTCGTTACTCCTCCCAGGCCACTATTGCTCTAGGCCGCCTTATACTTCCCTACCTATTCTCCGAGCTACCTACCTTTGCCACAGTCGCCGACCTTGTCACTCACCTTCGCACTAGTGACACTCTCTACCGTGCCGCGCTTCCCGCCGAGTTTCTAGCCAAAACCCCTCCTCCCAGGTACATCACGCTCTAATTCATCGTCACCCGCCTCCCTAACTCTCTTAGCGGAGTCAGGGACCTCCTTCTTGCCCTTGACCCCACAGACCTCACTGTCGACCTGCTCGAGAAGCACCTCCTTGCAGCTGAGACCAGCATAGTCAATGTAGGCGCTTCTTGTGGTACTCCTCGCACTCCCTTCTTTGAGGGGTATTCCCCCTCCCCCCTTGTCCCCTCAGTCGCTTCCGCTGCTGCTGTTGAATTCCTTCG